CGGCAAGAGAGAAGGCGTGTCTGCCTTGGTGCTAGTTGTTTTGAGACTGGATATGCTCGGTTGATTATGGTGTAAACAGTAGTCCCCCAAGTTCGCGGTCAAGAAGTGACTTCTGGGTTGGGAACTTGTAAGCTTTTGTGTGATCATGACCGAGCATTCCAGGTTCAGTGGGAGCCGTAGGGCAGTCCCTAGTCCCCCAAGTTGTCAAGCTAGAAGTGGCGTTAACACTTGGAAGGTATAGGAAAAGCTGTGTTAGCCTCAGTGTCTGTTGGTAGCTGGGTACCTTTAAAAGAAAAGTAGACTTGGGTTTTTGAAGCTTCAGTAAGAAAATCTGTGGGCCTTAGTGTTTATGACCCGGGTCCTGCCGTTTGGTAACCAAGTGATGATTTTGAGTAGCAAAGGCCTGGGTCCCAAAAGATTGGGTTGAAGCTTGAAGGAGAAAAGAGTATGGGCATCCATGTTTCCATTTTCCTAGCCCCCTTGCCACTCGGGGCCCCTTTTTTTTTTTTTTTTTTTTTTTTTTTTTTTTTTTTTTTTTTTTTTGAATGGCCAAGTGGTATGGGCTTTGAAAGAACAAGAGCCTAAGAGAAAGGCCTTTGGTTTGGCCTAGGCAAAGGGCCTGGCGAAATTGAATGGTGGAGCTGGGATTGATAAGTTTTGGGAAGGTTGTTTAAAAGAAGAAAAAAGGGAAAATATGGCCTGGGGTCCCTTTGTCATTGGCCTAGCTAATTGTTGGGGCTGGGCCGTCAATTTTAGCCTAGGTATGACTCAGGTAGTTGCTAGGGTATTGAGGGGAGTATAAAAACAATCCCACAATGCTTGCCGTTCGGCAAGGTGAAATCAAAAGGGACCAGATACTTGGAGCAAAAAGGGGCTAGGCAAAAAGGCTGGGCTGCTCACAGTTTCAAGGGGATTTTTGAGCAAATCTTGGAGCATCCATTTTTAGTCCCCCATTTTCCTTCCACACAGCCCTTGCCGTTCGGCAAGGGTGTGTTTTGTTCTTGAGCTGGCTCTTGAGAGTTGAGTCTTGG